AGTCTGCTGTAGGTGACCCTGCTTCGGCAGTGGGGTTGGACTAGATGACCCACAGAGGTCCCTTCCAACCCCGAACATTCTGTGATTCTGAGGGGTTTCTAGAAATGCCCTTGCAGGGAAGGACTTGTGTGACACCGGTGTTTGGGAGCTGACCTAGCTGAGCGTATCTGCAGGGTGGTCTCAAGTGCGTCCATCAGTCTGGCTTTGACCTTTAAGGATGTGGAAATTTCATCTGAGCTGACATGAACCTCACTCAAAATATCCAGAAAGCAGTGAAAAGAAAGCCTCTAGGAGCTGGGAAAACAGGTTCTCCAAACCCCTTGCCCGCATAAAGAATATTTTGAAGAGACTTAATGAGTGAGACTCTTACAAGCACACAAACACCAAAGACAGAGATGTCATCCTCAGGGTTTTTGGTCAGACATGGAGCTTTCTCCTTTATTTCTGCAGTATGTGTTGTATACGTGAAGGGCCTCATTTACATCAGCGCAGTCGTGTCCTGTCTGAGGAGGTGGAATTCCTCTTGCTTTGCTGATCAAGACAAACACGATAAAAACAGTTCATGCACAATACACCTCGAAGCCACGCTGCTAGTTCCCCAGGACTGCGAGGCAGAGCGGGGCTGGAGCTGTGCCTCGTCCCGCACCTCTCCAGCGGGGCAGAGGGCTTCAGGGAGACCAGTGGGGCTGGGAGGGGAGGCTGGTATCCTGCCAGGCCAATGGAAACAGGGAGCAGCTCCGCTCCTGCCACCGGAGTGTGCCGGTGTGAGAAGTGGTGTGTGTGCGCAAGGTGTGAGGCCCTTGGAGCGCAGGGAGGTTGGGGAGTAGGGAGGTTGTCGGGCAGGGCAGAGCCAGCGGGGGGAGGGTGAAGGGGACACTGGCTCCCGCGGGGTGCTGGGTGAGGGGTGCTGCCATCCTGGCCGGCACCGCAGCAGGCCTTCTTTGGGTGGGAAAGGATCAGGGAAGGATTTTAATATCTGAGTTGTGGAGGAGGAGGAGGGATTGTGCCCTCATTTTGGAGAGTAGAAAGGAGGTGGTGGAAGTTTTTATGGGAACAGAAGGGACCCAAGTTATTACTGGATGCCTGCTCAGCGGTGAAACAAACAGTGAGATTTTTGGGGGAAAGGGGCTTATTTTATCCTTTTACACACATACTCAAACCCCTCTGTGTATTTCCTAGCAACTCTATCCCGGTTTCACTTTTTTCACATCCTTCCCTACCATGCTATCCCCTTCCCCTTCTGGTCATTAAGGAAAAAAAAAATTGTAAGTGCCATTTCAAGTACTCTGGAGCAACCAACTTGCAGCCTCAGAAGTTTTGTCGGAGGTGTTGTTAAAAAGCAGTGAGTATCTTTGCACGGGGTTTAGCAAAAAAGTGATTTTCAGTGTGACCTCTCTCAGCAAGGTGTTGCAAGCTTTTTGGGGGTAGGAAAGGTGGGAAAAGGCATTCCGAAAACCACTTCAACAGAGCAAACAGTGAGAAGTAGCTGTCTGGTCCTGGTTCTCTGTTCTGCAGCTGCTTATCAGCGTTTGAGGGCTCTGATCCTGCAGTGGGCCATCTGCTTCCATTGACTGGCCTGGGGAGGTTTATCCATAGCATGGACCTAACCTCTCAGCTTTGTCCAAGGGGAAGGAAAATAATCTCAGTGAGATCATGGACAGGTTAACCAGCTCTGGCTGGTTTGCAAGCTGGGTGCTGACGTGATTCATTTGTCCAGGGGACAAATAAAAAATATTACCCTGAGCAAAAAGCTATGGTACTAATTCTGTTGCAGAAAAAACACCTGAACTGCAATGTATAAGTCAATTTTGGTTTAGGGGAATTAAAAAAACACCACAAAACAAAAAAGCACCCGATACCTATGGCATCTAATCAATCTTATATTAATAGGATGGATTTTCTTTTTATTTCTTAATTTGAAAAGGTGTCTGGAGGGGTACTTTAATGGGATAGATAGCCTCTCAGCCCTCCACGGGTAGCTGGCCTAACTGCAGCAGCTCCAAATAGGTCCTGCTGGCTGGCTTTTTGGAAGGCAGCAGGAGCAGAGCTGAGCTGATGAAGGGCCCTGAGGAAGCGTGCCACTGCTGGCAAGGGCCGGGGGAGTCTGCAGGGATCTCAGGGAGGTGGCAGCGCTGGAGCTGATCCAAGGGAGAGCTGTGTGTCCCCATCTGAGGCAGGGCTGGGTGGCGGGTAGAGAGGCATGGGAAGAGCTTTAGTCTGTCATTGCTCCCAGAGGCTGGGGCCTCTCCATTGCAGGGAGGATATTTGGGGCCCCCCAGCTTGGGACCTTCACTGGGACTTAATAGCTACGGTCATAAACACACTCACAACAAGAGGGCAACTGGTATAGCAGATGGGGGACGGGGGGTGCTACCCAAGCGTGCATGCTTCCTAGGAGAAGCAGAGCAGCTCGCTCTGCAGAGGCAAAAGGAAGGACATTAACAGAGAGGGAATAAGGAGGTGACAGCAGAGAATGGGGTTAGGCTGTTAAGGCCTGCAGAACTTTCAAGGTGATTAGGTGATTTGGAAAAAAATCCTTGTTTCCTCTAGTAAAGGCTATTCCCTTCTGCACCTTCCCTCTCCCTGGCAGAGATTAGAGCAGTAAGGTTAATATAGTAGCAGGTACATCCATGAAAATCCGCAGCTGAGTCTTCACTCCAAGTGCTGCCAGCTCTTCCCTAAATCTTCAGGAATCAAGGTGCCTCGTTGGAAGTGGCTCCATTGCCTTTGTTGACGTAAAAGGGGCGGTAATGTGACTGCAATGGAGAATTTGGGGCATGTGAGTTTGACCTACCTTCTTTTTCTGACGGCCTATACTTCACCCTCCTAGGTAGCCCAACATTACATATCTTAACATACCTCCTATCTTAACACCTTCGATATTCTCTGTTGCAGGCAACACTGCCTCATTTCACTACTGGAGGTGCTGGGGTGATCCAATGCAAATGGTGTTGCTTTTTGTTTTATACATATGCTTTGCATGGACTTCATTCCTGAGCTAAATCAGTCTGTGCATCATGTAAAATCTCAGACTATGACTCACGGTTTGATGAGAGGTTTCTGGGAGAAAAGGAATGTCACCTTTATTTTTATGCTTCTGTCAGTGTCTTTTAATTGCTCACTAGCCTGAGAACTCACAGGAGTTTTCACACTTAAAGCCACGCAAAGTTAATGCAAGCAATCAACTAAGCCACAGGGTATTTTTTTGTGGTCTCTAGCTGGTCAGGCAAAATTCCTGTGTGTGGAAATTCTCACACAATGGTGTATTGTTTATTTGCACCTCCACATCTTGCAGGGCCCAGTACTAAATGTTTGTGTAAACAAAAGCATAAGTGGAGAGACAGGGGTAGAGCCTAAAGGAATTGCCCTTTTTTTTCTCTCCAGCTCTGTTTACTGTGGTCCCTAATTGTGTATCTCCTCACCAGGACCTACCCCTGGAATTTTATTCTTATCTGTGCCATTACAAATAAGCAACACGTGGCAAAGTTGTGTTTCACAGCCTAGTGCTGGCTTGGGACAACTGCAAAACACAAAAGCCAATTTATTGTCTCTGATAGCTGGTTGCACTGTTGAAGGCAAACTCTTTAGCCTGGATGAGAATGTGCTGACACCAATGAAGCAGTGACCAAGGCAATTGGCAACAAGTGTGGTTTTGTAATGTCTGCTCTGTCTTAGGTTTGATCCACTGCCTAGATGTTACTTGCAGAAGGTAGGAGAGACCTCACGGCAACATGCTGGTATGCTTTTGTGCAGCACACTAGTTAATATCGGCACGGCAGGAGGCTGGAAGTATGGACAGAGCAAACCCAACCTATCTTGCTGCTCACTGCCGACTCCCAGTACCTCCTGCTCAATGTTGCCTTTTGTTGAAATTCTTTTCATTTTACGGCTTTAATTTCCAATATAATTAAGAGATGGAAGAGGGGGCCTTCATTTTAAAGAGCTCCCTGTGGGTTAAAAAGACATTCCTCCTTAAACAGTATAGTCCTTTGTGAAAATTCGTATTTACGGAGCTTTTAGCATGTGTATTACTTAAATGCATATTTAAGACTATTTTAAAAGCTAGATTATTGGCCCAGTGGACGATAAAAGCTCCTGCAGAGCTACTGCAGTCCAGAGTGTGTATTTCTATTTTGGGAATTTTTAATGCTTATATTTATCAACTCAATTGTTAGGTTCAGGGCTATCTGGTGAATATAAGCTATAAAAATAAAATAGCCACTACAAGTGTATTCATGAGAGAGGAAGGGAGACAGAAAAAGACTGGTGACTTCGTGTGGGAGCCAGGCTTTCTCTGTGGGGATTAAGGAAATCATGAGTTATGCTCGTGGATCACAGCACACTGACTACTGTGCAGTGGGGTGCCTGTTGCTGAGGAGACCATACTTACATCCACCAGTGCCCAATACTAACAGAGCTTTCGCTTTCCTGGCTAGACTTCCCCAGTATAACACAACCATTAGGGAGGATAGGTTGGTGTCCAAAATCACTGGGAAGAATTTCCATCTGGGCACACACACAATGAAGTAGGTGACCTTTTAGAAAGGTGCTGATCAAACACAAGACAGAGAAGATACTGCGAAACTTTGCGGTTCCTAGGAGATATGTTTTGCTGTAGCACATTCAGAGACTCAAGGCTAGATTTTCTGAAAGTGTTACAGTCTACCAAGAAAGGTCCCTTTCACTGGTGTTCATCTCCTGGTGGGGCCTTGAAAATTTGGCAGAGACATACAGCTGCAGTCGTTAGGCAGCTGCTTTCTAACTGTTACGTATTTCCTCTGTTTTCTTCTTTCAGTGGGGGAATGCTCTGGATTTTTGACCCTCTCTTTCTTACAAGTCTTATTTCCAGGGAATAGTAAATAATCTTTCACAAACGTATAATCAGAATCCAAAAAATAGATTTTTGTCTGTGGATATGGGGGCTAAAACTTGGTGATCTTACTTCAGATTGTGCAAGATCTTAATGCAGCACTGTGGATGGATGTTAAGAAAAATGGATGAACTTAGTGTTTCAGTGGTTATGCATGAACAGTTTGTTACCCTTGTATATTTAAGATTACAAGACCTAAAATATCACTGTCCTCTGCGCCTTATAAGGCACTATTACCTGTTTTGTACTAACAGTGCAAAATGAGTGACTTAAAGAAGTTCTAGTGACTTATGATTGTGGTCTGACCCTTCACCTTTGATACTGCATCTGCCCACTGTAGGATGTAATTAGCAAAATACTTCTGTATGGTTGTCTTTGGTGTCATTTACATAATCTGTGCTTTCTAGATGTCATGGACTACTAAGAGTGTATGATATACCTGCAGGGAGGAAAAGTACTACAGATACTAGCACGTGTGCTATAGTATTTGTATAGCTTCTAGAAGCCTGGAACAAATTTTAGACCGGGGCAAAATCTTTTCAAAATGTCATTTTGAAATATTGATTATCCCTACAACCCACAGCTGTGAAGGCAGGAGGGTTAATCTGTGGATGCAGTTAACCACAGAAAAAAACAATAGAAGTTGTTGACTTGAAGCTTTTACTTTACCATCTCCAAAGGAATTAAGTCCTAGTCTCTGAAGTCTCAGGTATCCCTAGAACAGATAGTTCTCTCACTGAAGCTGTGCACATACTTTCACACCAAGGGTATATCTCTTACCAATACAGACTGCTTAGAGGATTTCCATGTCTGTGGCGTCACCTTTGCAGACTGATGTCTCACTATTGAAGGATAAGCTGTGACAACACAAAACAGCCTGTTATAGATCAGTACCTGCCACCATCTCTGTCTCCCCTTGCGAGTGTCAAGATGAGTAGCAGGACTGGAAGTGCCACATAATTAGTATTGCATTGCTTAACATTGAAATGCAGCCGTTTCTGGGGTGGGACACAACAGCTGTCAGACACATGCCTATTCCACCACCCAATCAGTTAGGAAAGGGGAGTAAAGAAGGTCTGTCTAATTAAACTGTCTGAGGAATGCAGAGAGGTGGAATGCAATCAGTCCAATTAAATGTAGGCCAAGTCCTGAACTAAGCATTCTGACTCTTGCAAAGAATACTAGAGGCTATTTAATTAGTGCAAAGAGCCGAGGTCTGGGTTTCTTGTCAGAAATTAATGACAGTACCTTTGGCAGTGTGATAAGCCCTAACCCCCTTCTACCACCCCAGCTTCCATTCTCCTTCAAAAATAATACCAGCCCTGCTGACTCACAACCAGTGTCAGTGCTGTCAGGCAATGGCCTTTCCCCACCATCTCCCATTCACAAATTAATCAGGCCTGACTCTGCTTGGCAGGTGCTAATGCTCTTGGATTCCATCTCTGGTACCCTTGAACTATTGGGCAGTGAAAAGAGGATTATGAGACGCTGAATGGGGGATTCTGGCTCAGATGAAAGAGGACAGGCTACTGCATAGTTGAAGATTGTTCTCAGTAGCTATTCTTCTTTCAGGATGATAGCTGTTTTAAAACACTGATGAAGCTAGAGGGGTAAATGGCTATTAACATAATTTCCTAGTATCTTTCCCTGGTCCCTACACTTCTAAAATCAGCTAAAATTCTCACCTGTACACTTTACAAACAATTTTAAACCCCTTCAATTATTCACTAGATATAACTTTTTAATACTTTTAAACACTCCTGTTGCCCTGGTTTGGCAAAGTTGCTCATGTAAACACTTGCACGTATCTAAGAGATTGACAGTCAGGGCAGGAGATATGGGCCAGGTGCAGGACTGCTCCAGGGGAGCAAGAAAAGGATTAAATGTTTTATCTCTTAAAAAAAAGGGCAGAAGAAAAGGGAGAAAACTAAATGCCTAGTACCGGTCTTAGTGAAGAGGCTCCCATCAGACTGTTTGCTGAAGTCACCAGACGGGTTCTGTCCCACCGAGGAGAACTGAAAAGGCAGCTTAGTGCCATTGCCTACTGGAAGACAGAAGAGGTTATGTTATTCCATGGTGTTGCATGCTGCAGTGGGGAAGCCTAAGCATTTTGAAACACACCCTGTAAAACTACCTTCAACCAGTTTGAGGAAAAATGGGAACTAGTAGCTTTGTCTCTTTTTTCTTAGTAAGAAAAGGCAGATCAGAGCAGTCAGTTCTGGGGTCCCAGGGTACACAGTGTGCGGGTGTGAAGAGATCTCATTGCTCTAGGCAGGCAGGGAAGAGCCTTTCTCTTGAGAGACCCAGCGTGCAGGTGTGACTGAAGAGGACCAGCTTCCTCGCAGGTAAACTGCATCTCCAGAGACTGGAGTAAAGAGGCAAAACTACGTAACTGCTGAAGCTCCCTTACCTCCAAGCAGTTGAGGCTTTATTCAAAGCCCATTGAAATTAAAGCAAGGCTTACCCATGTGGCCTTCTTAGGGGTCAGGCCCTGGCTGCCAAAATGAATCTGAGAGCAGAGGCGATGAGCGAGAGAATGCATGCAGGCTGCTTCTGAATGGAAGGAAAGGCAAGACCCTCTGAGCATGAACAAAGCAAAGTAAGAAAATACAGGGGAGAAAAAGGAAGGTGGGGATCTGCAAAGAAAAGGCATATGACTCGTTGCTGCTGGTTCTTGGTAGACCAGCTCAAAGCACCCTCTCCCCATTGTGCTGGACACTGTACAGACAGTGAACATTGGGCAGGTTCTCTGAGAACTTATGAGCTAAGTAAAAGGTGTATGTGTGATGGAGAAGAGCAGCCTTGTGCTTCTGAGGCTGGCTGAGGGTATTTTGAGTCCGCTCCTCGTTCTGCCACAACCTCCATAGATTGCCTTGGATGATGTTGGCACTTGGGTCGATTGCAGTCAGTTGGTTATCTCAGGATCTTTAAAAATTGGCACTTATGTTTTCCATCTTCTTCTTTCACTGTCTGAACAATGAGGACCAGGGATACCTTTTCGTCCTATGTACATAGTGCCTAAAGCAGTGAGACCTGGGGTAGGGTGTATGCATAAGGTGCCGATAACACAGCTAAGAGATGGTTCTGTGAGACAGATGACAGGACAGCTGAGAGGGGAAGCAGAAAAGGTTGGTTAGCCAGCTAGAAAGCTGTGGCACGGGGGGTTAGATCCTTTCAAACTGAAGTCGGAATTACCCGTACCAAGTGTTTCCTCAGTCGCTTGGAAGGAGGAAAATTCCCATGATCGTGGGTTGAAATTGGCTGTAAAACAAGAGCATCCAGTTCAGCAGTCGGCTCCTGACGAGCTGGCTCAATAGCCTGTGCCTGGCATTGCTCTATGAAACAGTCCCCACCAATTTGGACGCAGCCCCAAACCAGAAATCTGGGTCCAGGGAGTAGAGGAGAGCTTGATCTTTTTTCTCTGGGTTCTTGGGAGTGGTGAATAGACTTCCCATGTAGAGAACAAAGCACTCTCACTGCCACAGAGCTGTCTTTAGCTGCATTAAATTGCCAGCTCAGGTTTGTCTACTCAATGTGACTATTCTGCAAAGAGACCTGCAGGTGGAGGCTTGGATTTAGAGCTCAGGAGACCCAAGTAGAGGAACATTTCTTGCTCAAGTACACGTTGTCTCAGCCACTGTGACAGGCGTGTGGTCCAAGGTTTCACTAGGACATCGTGCTGTGATGCAGGCTAGCGCTGTTGTACCCCTTTTGTGAGAGATTGGACTCCCAGAAGAGCGAAAAGGAGATGAATACTTTGAGCTGTTATGCTGCCATCCTGTGGACTGCTTTCCTATTTAAGCAGTTCTCTCCCTCTCTGTGTGCAAGAGTCCCTTTGACTCTTCATTCAAAGACTTCCACAGGCATAAGATCATCTTTCCATCCTCCTCCTGGCTTTGGCCAAACGGTTTGCAACATCAGAAGAAGAAAGCTCGGTGGAAGAGGACAGAAAGGAGTGTCGAGCAGTTGAACAGATTGTTCCTCTATCTTTTAGGCAGCATTTGAAACCTTTTATGTCTCCCCTCTGCCTCATTATGTTATCCCTGCAGGCAGATGCTCTGTGATACTGTCTTTAATGACAAGACCAGTAAAAGTGTCCTTGAGTTTATGCAGGTTTTAAAAACCTATAGGTTCAGCTCAAATCTAAGCTGTTTCTTAGTACGGGGAACTGCAATTAGCACAGAGCATTACTTGGGTAGCATTCCTCAGCGCAGCAAACAGACTGGCTGCTGTGGCCTCGGGCAGAATTTTTAGTGATCCAACCTAGCTGAGAAAAAGGGTGTGTTGCCAAACTATCATGAGATATTGGAGCATTCTGTGCCTATTATGCAATGCAACAGGTGGTCCTCTTTCTTTTTCCTCCTATTTTATGGAATTCCTTAGAAAAATGCAATCAGAGGTAGTGCTGGGCTTCTATGTGACACATTGATAGACCACAGAAAGCTCTAGAGAGTTAAATGATTATGGGTGTATTGCATTATTCATTGGATAATCCTTTGCTAGTCAGCATGCAAGCTAAGTGGGTCAGGTCTCCTGTTTTGCCTTCTGATTCATTCTGTTCCCAAAGTCCTCATCAGTGTGGTTTCAGCAGCTGGTTCCTTTCTGTCGAAATGTTCCTGTAAGGGATCACGCTTGACTCCTCACCCTGGTGGAGAATCCAGTGCTGTTCAATCCCCATTTCAGCAGAGGTTGTGTGTGCAATCATGTGCTTAGCTTTTTTGGACAAAATTACTCTGTTGGTAGAAAATATAGAATGAGTAGCTTTGGAGGGCAACGTGTCTGCACTCTCAGGAAAACGTGGATGTGTAGGCGGAACAAACACTCCCGTAGTATTTGCGTATTCAAACAGCAGGCTACTGAGCCCGAAGCTGCTGTACAACCCATGCGCTACTCTGTAGCTGACTGCATCCAGCAAGTGTCCCCCCCGGCTCCAGTAAACAGTACCGAATAAGAAACCCTGCACCTAGCAGTCCCTGTTGATCCCTCCTGTCTCTTGGCATATCCTGCAGGAGGCTGGGATGCTGGATCCCAGCTGGGAGCCAGGGAGCCCCTGCTTCCATGTCTCAGCAGCTAATCTTCCAGAGAGGAGCAGGGGGAAGTCCAAGCACTATGGTCCAGAGCAGTGAGCAGCCAGGCTGTGCCATGCTATGGCAGTGCCGCAAATGGCTTTTCCCTTCCTTTTGCCATGTCAGGTTTCAGCCCTATCCCAGACACATGTGAGCAGTGGTGGCAAATTTCTGCTGTGCTATTTCCACCTGAACCCGAAGCCACGCATCGTGACTAGAGATGGGTTCAGCCCATGCAATTTTAGCTCTATCTTTCAACCATCCCTCAAGGTTGAAAACAGTTTTGGATGCAGGGCTGAGACTGTGGTGTCTCCCCAGCATCGGCAGCTCCGCTTAGCAGAACATGTGTTTCCCTGACAGCACAGGGCCTGTAAAGCCCTGAAGCAGCTGGGGCAGAACAGCAGCTATAATCATCCAGGCAGTGTTTGGAGACAGGCTCCAAGCAAGACAATCCCACCACTGGCAAAATGCCTCTCTGCAGCCCCTGATGAAGAGGCTGTCCCCTAACTTGGGGGGGCTGCAGGAAACAGTCCTGCTAAAGGCTTGCAGACGCTAAACTAGGAATGTTGCCTCTGCTCTGAATGGCATCCTCACCCCCATGGCGCCTGGCAGGGCTGCCAGCTAGCTGCCAGGCATAGGCTGGTAACAGAGGAGAAGGACAAAGTGGAAATCCAGACAAAGGGCTCAGTGTTGGGGTTTGGGTTATCCCCATGAAACCCCAACGACAAAGTAGGCAACACTGCACTTCAAATATGCCTTCAGGGGAGTGCCACTGCTAATTGTTGGCATAACTCTTTGCCCTGCCAGCCATATGGCTTTGCAGAACAGCAGCTGTAAACACCTGGTAAATCCAGGCAGAGCCTTGCTCTCCAGGGACTGGGGGAAATTTGGTTACTTTTTTTGTGCTACCCTCTCTGTTTTTTTGTTTCTATGGGCATTGGTTTGCCTAGGCTTTTCGCACTCTCTGCTTGTTGCTCTGGAAGTCCTGAAACTGATTTAGAAATAGACAACTGCCATTTTACTACTGAATGTGTCGAAAACAGTCATTCACTCCAAAGACTCATGCTGTACTGTTCATGTAAACAGATCACCAGGGCTCCTGTTGTCAATGTCAGAGCTGAGAAAGGAACCTCAGACTTCTGCTTTTTTAGGACACATTCCTCGCTGCTTCTATCTTTTCTGGTGAAAGTTAATTTCTAATGCAGAGCAAGCCTCATATAGCTTTCACACTTGATAGCACAGTGGGATAAGCTTCTGGTGGAGAGTAACACTTACTTCAACCCAGTAACACATGTTAAAACTCCCCTATATTCATAAACTATGCTCTTTGAAAGAGTTCAGTCACTCCAGCTCTCCTCCACAGAGTTGAGAACATTTGCTGCCTTGTTTGAGATGAAAAGGCAAAAAGTTCTCAAAGCTTTGTAGCCTAGAGAGAAGATCTGGCATAAACGAATGCAGAGGGATGGGTCTTGTCCAGGGACAGGAGGAAAGATGAGGGAAAGCAAATTTTGGGACAAATCATTAATGAAGTTCCTTTCCTATGCTGTGTTTGGAAGAAGCCTGACCACCATTAGGGTGCCATACCTTTGGGAGACAGGAACATGGAAAATCTCTTCAAGTTGTCGGGCTGGTTCCACTCATAGTTGTTCATCATATACCGGTGGTCACCTGGAGAAGCAAAGCAAAGGATGAACTGGACCAGGCAGTTCAGTGGTCTTAAGAGGGACGGGAGGAGGGCGAAGAGGGTAACAGATTGGAATTGCTGCTTCAAGTGCTGCAGGGAGAGATGGTTCTGCTGTTTGAAAACAAGTTCTGCTATTTTTTTAATTCTTCTGTGGGACTCTGGCTGGGACATAAAGCAGCGCTGTAGATGCCCAGAGGTTCAGCCTGTGATAAAAGAGAAGGCTGCCTCAGAAGCACAGCACAGCTGAAGCATTCGGCCATTCAGTAGATAAGCTATCTCCTGAATTTCCACAGGGAGACTTCAGGGTTGAGGCATTTTCCTACCAAAATACTGCTGTGTGGCTAAAAATGTACCCAACTTCAAAAGCAGTGGTTTGGGTTTGGCTTCTTTTGTGTGTTTAAAACCCGTGCACAGAGCTGGTTTTCAACCAGCAGATCTTGAACTGCAAGTATTACAAAGCTCAAGAAAGTCAGTGTTGGGAGGAGAGCTCAGTGGGTTGGTTTCTTCGATTTTTAGAGAAAGATGCTAAACCTATGTTTAAAGAGCTCCTAGCTTCCTGGGCTCTTGGACAAGGGTGTTTGGTTCAGACTTCATGCAGTGCATGAAACCTGTATGCTTTTGCCAGGTATTACACAGCCTGGATTGGTTTTCTGACACTGATCCACAGGAAATGATGCTCTGTCAGTAAAGTTGCTCATAAAAATAGTTTCTTGTAAGGCCTCAGGTGCTACATAAACCTGTTGTTCTCCACTAGGGGGTAAAATTGGTTCCCATGTTTAAATAGTTCCATTCTTTGATTCTTAAGTCACGTAACAAACTTTTATGTTATTTCTCCAATTTATTTCTGTGTTATTTAAACTCCCTGGATGGTCTCTGATTATTTGCCTCCTTGCCACACTACTAAGTAGGTACCTGTTATGACAACTAAAAGAAACTGGATTCCCTTTGGAGTCTGCTATTAAGCAGGTTTCATTCCATTAATATAATATTTCTTCCTGGGAAGTTTTTTACGCTAGAAGATCAAGCCGACTGCAAATGAATTTGTTGCAGTGACTCAGGGGGAGGCTGAGTTAATTAAATCCATTAAGTAATTGTGGTGTTATTTCCTTGCAGTCACTGATGTGGAGTGCTGTCCTCTTTCAAGTGTAACTGTAGTTCAAAAAACGGAGAGCACTGAAGTTTCTGACTCACCTTAAATAACATTTCCCAACTGAGTGGATAGCAGTGGTGTTCTCATTAGGCAGAGTCCAAACTGTGTCCATTAAATCCCTGGTAAAGTTTCTGAGTGCCCAGGTTTCTGGCAGTAGTTAACTGTAGGCCTGCTCAGAAACATTTTGGCACTTGAATCCCTTAGATTTCAAGTACCATTGAGGACTTCTGGCATCAGTAACAGGGAGAGGACCCTAATTAAAAATGATCAAGTGATCAAGAAGTAGTCAGTCTTTATCTACAGCTACTAGAACTGAACATGTGCATGCTCTTGTTGGGTTGTACAAATGGCCAACTAAAATGTATTTGCTTCGGGATGGGCAAAAGCCAGCTCAGCAGATGGAAGGTAACTTCCTAAGTAATGGTAACTTGAATGCAAAGTGCTTTTATGCTACTAATCTAGTTTTTAGAAGTGCTGTGAGTAGTCAGGAATCCAAAATCCCTTGGCATTATGCCATCCAGAGTTTGGAAATTCTCCGGGTGAGCAAAGGAGAAGAAAGAAAAATGTACAAAAGTGATTTTTGGATCTGAGCTGCCTGTCACCTACCTGTACTAAGTTATAGCCAAATTTCTCAGCAAACCTTAGCACGTGGCGTGTTGAATCTGACCAGGTACATTGCAGTGTTAAACATTGGAAGCCATGTAATGTTCAATTGCTGGTACTGCTTTAAGGGTAGGGAAGAGTTTAAAAATCTGGCTCTAGCTGTTTCTTCACCTGCTCCTTTGTCGTATCATCTTGTAATGTGGATCTGTCTTTTCTGGAAGGAAATTGGAGTGATTTGGTGTGGCTTTTGCCCAGGAAAAAATGTGTTTTATTAATATGGGAGGAACTCACTCTAGTGAGTACTGTGAAGCCGAATGAAATAACAGTGATCTTGCCGATTTGCAGCAGAGTTCCTCAGCTGCTTGTGTTATATGACCTGAACTTGAGATTATCCCTGCATCTTTTCAAGTCACACCTCCTCTGAGACAGCAAGGTGCAGTTCATCTTCATGTTACCTATCCAGCTTCTTGACCTTTATTGTTCTGGTATCTGGGGTTCCACAATTATTAATAGATTATGTCCTTATAGCAACCTGGTGAGATAACAATTCAGATTCCTATTATTCTTGGTGCAAGAGGTCATTTAATGGGGGCCCAAGGTTACAAGGGCTGTTTGTGGGAGAGATAGAAAGTGAACCTTGGTTATGGAGTCCCATTCTAGTGCCTTGTCCTCCTAACCTTATCACAGAATCACAGAATCACAGAATAGTAGGGGTTGGAAGGGACCTCTGTGGGTCATCTAGTCCAACCCCCCTGCCGAAGCAGGGTCACCTACAGCAGGCTGCACAGGACCTTGTCCAGGCGGGTCTTGAATATCTCCAGAGAAGGAGACTCCACAACCTCCCTGGGCAGCCTGTTCCAGTGCTCCGTCACCCTCAGAGAGAAGAAGTTCCTCCTCATGTTCAGACGGAACTTCCTAAGCTTCAGTTTGTGCCCA